AATTTTTTATATCCTATTATTTGATAATTCAAATATTTTTTATTAAATTTCATCATATTTATTACTCATATACATTTCCTTATATCTATTCAATTTTTAACATATTTTTTTTGCACAGCAGCAGTATCCTTTTTTCACTTGAAAATATATTTTGTTGATCTATATTTTTAGGTAGAAACTTATATCACTTCTACTTGAAATTTAAGTTACATATACGAAGAAGATATGTAAAAACTCGTCTACTTATAATCATATGAAGAAAAACCTATTTTAGACGAAGGAATATGAAGCAGGATCTTAAAAGGCAGGATACATCATGAAAACAAGTTAGTACGTGAATTATATATTTGTTTCTATGAAGATTTTTGCACAAGTATATCTTGATAGTATTTTCACTATGGGGCCGTTCAAGTATTACGTAAGCACTATAGGGGGGGCGGGGGGTTTATTGATTTCTTATTTTGGGTGACATTTTGGTAACAGCTTTGCTTACTTTTGCTGACAAAGGGAGATGAGGGGGGGGGGTAAATAATTGTACTAAATTTGCTTACGTAATACTTGAACGATCCCTATATGGGTTTGTGGAAATTTCATTGATTTTTATCAATTGGCAGTAGACTTTTGAATGTGTTATCCCTTAAAGTGATTAAAATTCGGTCCTGTGTGAATTACAAACATGAAGCTCGAAAAACGTAGGCCCTTGCAGCAATATCCTGCACGGTGTGCTTATATGTCAGCGTTTTTGATGGATCACCCATTGCGAAACGCAAGATCAACGGGCGAGCCGCGACTAGGAACGGCTCTTCGACGCCTGAATGGGCCCTCTAATGCCTAAGACGAACGCGCGGCGCACGCACTGATCGCGTTTTAATTTCGAATTACACTGAATACCGGGACAAAGGATAAAAATTTTAAATGGTGCCGAAAGGGGTTCGGGGATAAAAAATAGTTACTTTTGTAATCGTTGAATGTAAAGGAAATTTGATTGCAGAACGGTTTATAATATAAATATTTATCGGGAAGTTTGTGCAACTTAGCTAAATAACACTTACTTCTAGCTAACTTTCCATAGGGAGAGTTATAATGATGGCAAAAAATGAAAATGTAATGTAATTTTTTCATATCTCTACTTTTTAGAGCAGGGTTTCTTAAACTGTGGGTCGCGACCCCCAAAGATCTGATACTTTTCAATCATTATGAATAACATTTTAAAATTAGTATACACACTACATACAAATATAAATACATAAGTTTAATGGAAGAAATAAATTTTTAAACTTAAAAGCACAAGAAGAATTTGCCAAATTAACAAGTGATACTACTTTGCGAATCAGATTTTCTAAAGTGCCTGTGCATGAATTTTGGATGGATTTGATGGAATCAAATCAGAATATCCCCTACAATCGGAAATGGCAATGAACAAATTATTGCCATTTTGTACAACATATTCATGTGTATCAGCCTGTTTTACAGTAACATACATAAAAACAAAATACCAAATAAACGTTGAAAATTTATTACGATCTGCACTAACTCAAATTGAGCCTAGATTTAATTATTTGTATAAAAATAAACATTCACATCCGACACCTTAATATTGTTTGATGTTAATAATATGTTTTAAATCAAAAAAATTGTTACAAAAGTTTGTTTTCTAATATATATTCTAGTATATGAACGAGGGGGTCGTTTAAAATTCCCTAAGCTTCAAGGGGGTCGCTATATAAAAAAGTTTAAGAAGCCCTGTTTTAGAGGATTCTGAACATTTTGGCATACTTTACAAAACTGGATGTTTGTGTGTGTATGCGCATGTAGTATGTATATGTAACACATACAAAGATTGTATCCAAGTATATATGGTAAATATGCGCGCATGTTTGGATACAATTTTTTGTATGATTTTGAAAGCGCAGAACAACGGATTTGAAAGAATAATGAAATATTGGATTCATATTGGGAAAACGTGCTAGATTTTGGCTAAAGCAGGTCCAGCCGTTTTGAAGGTGTGAAACAAAAAGTGCTAAAAATAGCAGTATCCGATTAGAATGAGTTTTCTAAGAACATTCGATTCGTATTATCGGGAAAATGTGCTGATTAGTTTTTGGCAAAGGCAGCTTCTGCACAAAACATAGCAGTAGTTAGAATTGTAATAGCAATTGATAAATTTTTGTTGGTTATTAATTATTTTTATTCCTCGACTGTTTAATTACCGGAGGGAAGATTCCAGCAATTTGCCTTGTGGCATGATGCCATGCACCGCTAGTTATAATTTTTGATGATGACGATCTTACTAAATATTAATTTGGAGCAAATACATATCAATAATCTTGTCTCTAAAATTATATACCTAATCGACATAAGTCCATAGACGAAATGCGCAAACGAATTTTCTATACCAGTGAACCGGCACCATTCTTATCACCATCTCGCAAACATGGCCGCATCCTGTCCGGAAATGTAATATTTTACGCGCTCTATTCAAAAAGGAGCACGACTCAGGAGAAAATGTCACCGCAAGTTTTCCGCACATCGAGGCTTGTGTGTGTCTGTTATTTGTGATATGGGACTGATCCTCAGTTCTGGAGGCGAGGAATCAATTTATAGATACAATATTTGCGCATTCTTCTGGATATTATTGATCATTCCTTCGAGTGGTATGCAAATGACGACGCAGCGACTATGAAGCGCAGTGAGCGGTCAACCGCGTAGAAGGTGAAGAGGAAAAAGCGCGACGTATGTGGAATATTCAGAATAAGTAATGATCTGGAGGAAGGAAAACTAAATTTGCGGCCCAGAAAGGTGTCAGCACATTTTAGGAAGAGAACAGAGTAGTTATTTTGGTGTTTTATGCTAATTCCAAATCAGTCATTGAAATCCAGATACAATCCAAAATCTCTGCAGTTTTGAAGAAATTGGTACAAATCATTTTTTTATTATTAATGTATTCCATTCTCCACTACATTCCAATATGAAGTTCAAATTTTAGACATAAATATAAATGAATCAATCGCTCAACTTTAACTTGAATGACAAAAGCTATAAAAACATAAAAGCTGATCCATTTCCTGGTATGCCCTTGTGCTTTTTTTAGCATAATGTAACCAAAGCTGTTGATGTGTTTGAAAAAAAAAAAATAACGAAATATTTCATCATCACAAATCCATCCTGCGAATATAGCACGCGCTGGGCTTTTGTGTCCCACAGATTTGACACGAAATCAAGTCACTCTTTCGTACAGGGAGGAATCGATTCGAATAATTATTTTAATTATATATATATATAAGATTATTTATTCCAGATCCAGAAAATTATATATATATATATATATATATATATATATACATATAAATACCTTTAATATAAAGGCATCATATCATTTGCTAAACCAGGAAAAGTTTTTCTAAGACATCGCTCTTAAATATTGTCAATTTAGCAGTTTATTGGAATCTTTTTATTCTGATTGCCAAAGAATATATAAAATATATATATATATATATATATATATATATAATTTTCTGGACTAAGAAAATCTTTTTTTTATTCTCAAAAAAATGTTAATTTGATTTTTCATTTATTTTAGGTCAAGGGATGTCGTCTTCCTTACAAGGTGTCGAAAACAAAAAAAAAATTATACATTTTAAGTTTTAAACATATGATATAATTATGCTACCATACATAAAATTACTGAATTTTTAAAAATATTTTAATAAATTTGAATATGGAATTATATTGAATTTTTATTGCATAATTAAACCATGAAATATATAATTAAAAATAATAAAATGAAAAATCAAAAATAATTTTACATTCGTGGAAAAGGCTCTTTAAAAATAAATTCTGACGTAAAAAAAATCCTATTCTGGTTCTGCTTTTTTTTCAATACTATTAAGGGTCGCAATCACATTTTTGCTAACGTCATTTTTTGATTGATGTCATTTAATAGATTCCGTGTTATATTTTTTGAATATTCAAAAGAGATTCTTAATAAAACTTTTTATTATTAATTTTGTTTAATCTCGCCATGTTAATATCCGTGAGGCCACATGTTTTAAATATAACTGACAGTTCTGAAAAGTTTAAACATTACACAACAAAACAGAGATATTTAGAAAACAAAACTAAATTGTTGAATACTGTTTATTTTAATAATTACAATATAGACAAATTATTTAATATCATAACTTATTTTATTTATAATTTGTGTATTTTATTTAAATTTTAATTATCAACTTTACTTTAATGATGAATCATTGCTAACTTCATGATAGTTGCATCGAACGATCTGAAAGCAGTCTGAAGTTTTCTATATTTATTTATTTTGATTTACGATTGGTAACTGTTTTTAATGACATAATTAATTTATCAAGTATTAATTTTTATTAAATCACGTATTTGTTATTAAATGTGTAATAAAATTTATCGAGTTTATAATCCTATTTATTTAAAATTAATTCGGAATACTTTGGACTCGTCGATTATCCTGATGCACCACTATTTTTTTATTGATATTATTTAATAGTTTCCGTATTATATTTTTTGAATATTCAAGAGAGAGATGCTTAATATAACGTTTTATTAATGATTTAGTTTAATTGTGACACGTGAAAGTTTAAAATTACATGCTCTTTTATTTGACAGTTCTAAAAAGTTTTTATATTTTACACACACTCTGATGCTCGTGAAAATAAACCTAATTTATTGAATAATGATTCGAGTTAATTTTAATTGTTATTTAATTTTATTGGTTTTAATTTTAATTTGTGTGTTTTATATAAACTTTAATTAATAAACTTTGCACGATTAAATAGGCAATTATTGCTAACTTCATAGATAAGAAATTAAGGAATAGGCAATTATGGCTAACTTCATTATAGTCACAACGGATTATGTGTGAACAACTTGAAGTTTTTGTTTTTTCTATTTCTATGTTGGTACACTCCCAGTCCTTATTGACAGATTGAGTTATAATTAAATATTATAAATTTTATTTAGTTCTCATAAGTGTTAATTTTTAAAGTGCAATAATTATTAATTTCCTAATCTTATTTATTAAAAATCGCTAGCGCCATCCATTATTCTGATTTTCCTTTGAATCTGTTTTATCGACATAAGTTTTGCTAAGTGCTGTCACTTCTTTACATAACCAAAGCGAATAAGTTAAAATCGGAGCTGTGAAATCGAAATAATTGTTAAAATGTCTGATATAGAAGAACATTATGCCATAAAATTGTTAACAAACAATTTCAACCGGGAACCTTCAATAGTTACAAAATGGGCTATACCTGTATCGTTCGCAGGTTTGGCTTTTGTTGGAACTTGTGTGGCTAATATGCTGACTAAAAAACCAATGATGTCAGGTAAATGGAATTGATACATTATTTTTGATATAATATGTAAATATGTAAAATAAAAATCTAAATGTTCATTCATTAGTAGCTTATTTAAAATAAAGATTGCGTTATAAGAGAGGTCGATGTTATAAAAGTCTGATATAAAATAATTTTGGATCTTTATTTGTGTGTGTTTATTTTCTACAGATCTGTAGAATATATATATATATATATATATATATATATATATATTATTTATTTATTTTTTAGGCATTCAGAAACACATCCTTCTGACAGCTAGTTTTGGTGGATTTGGTTATATCGCAGATAAATATCGTAATGATTATTATGCAGAAAGAGATGCTATGTACCGACATTATATTTCTTTACATCCTGAAGATTTTCCAGAACCAGGTATGAATAAACATAATTCCTTGCTTGTATAATGTAGAATTTGTTACAAAGAGATTGTTTTAATCTCGCTACTTTCCATGCATGCTGGTGTATTATATCATATATTATTTTTTAAACATTTTACTGAAACTTGTGTGGCCTTTTTGACTTTATTTTATTATTATTCTCATAATTACAGCACAAAGTAAGTCTTTTTGTCTCTAATTTTTTTTATATACTTTATTTAATACCCATCCATTAGTCCAAGCACGATATATAACATTTTTTATTTTTGTTTATTTTATTTTATGGTAGTTTTGCACTATAAATATTAGTAAACGAATTGTTTTGAGTTTTGTGTAAAGCATGAGAGTAACAGTGTAAGAAAGTTTAGTGACATTCATTGAAGTTAAAAGAAAATTGTGAGTAGATTTTTCATTTCATTTTTCATATCATACTATCATGAGTTATAATAGTAAATTATGAAAAATAGATATTATTACTATTGTATATGTGTTCATTTTTCAGAGAGGAAAAAGTATGGTGATCTATTTCTACCCTGGACACCTATTCGTTAAGAAAATTGTTCTGCACTTATTAGATACATAATCCAAAATGTAAATATAACACAAATAATTATATTGTACTAATTTATACAATTCATTATGTAGAAACTTATGATGAATAAATAAATGGCTTGATTTAGAGAATAAACATAATTGCTAAATTTTTATTCAAACAACAATACTTGTTCTAAAAAATTTATTTCTGTTTGGTAACGATTTTATCATTACAATTCGCAATGATAATAAACATTCCAACACATTTCTAGCACATGTATTTTTTAATAGAGTGGCATAATGTTAATAATTATGGCAAACATTCATACATGTTGAATTCATAAACAATCTATTAAATATAAATAAAATATTAAAATTATTTTAAATTTTCTGGAACATAATTGTCCACACCCGCAATACCGGTGCCTTCGGCATCGCCTAACCATGGATAGATATTTGGGCATTCTTCACATGTTTGCATGTACCTTGTATCTGTAAAATTAGCATCTGCTGTTTTGAATGGAAGTGCACATTTATTTGGATTACTACATGGTTTTGATGGAATTGTTGGTTTTCGGGTATTGCATTTCCATGCTTCGTAGTTATTGAGTTGATTCAAAGGTTTTGGATCAGTTATCCAGGTTAAAGCTTGTGTCACTGTTACAAACCACACATCGTCTCTGTAATTGTAAAAATAATCATTTCAAATAAATTGTAAAACCATTAACAAATTTTCTTGTTTATGATATAATTTCACTTACAATCCTTGTGCCCAATCGAGGAATTTGTGAAGACCTTCTTCAAGTTCTTTGATCTGGAACCAATTTGTGTGGAATGGCATCATGTAAGGTGCTTTGTTCTGTTCATAATGTCTTGCAAAATCTTCCTGAAGCCATTCGAACACTTCTTCAGCATCACTATTGTGGAGAACGCATTGATCCAAATATGGGCAATGACCACCCTCATAACTTTCAATGAAATGGGCGTTCAAAGGAACTTCCCATACACCTGTAAAGATAAATGATATATTATATTTATTATTAATATCAGAATTAAAATAAATAATTAAATTACTGACCAGGGAAAGTCTTTGATGGACAAGTACCACTTTTGCATTCATGTGAAATTTTATAATCTAAAGTGTAAGGCCACACAGGTACTGCAGATGGTGGTACGCCGATTGAACTATCGTATATATATCCAAAGTCTTCCACAACCTAAAATATAAAAAACACACTGTTTATAAACTGGCAAAAAAGCTATTATTATTTTCCTCGAACCTTGTATTGAGTATTTCTTCCGGGTTTAAGGAAAGGTGCTCTCATACCCACGACTTCTGAAGATGTAACATTTGCAAAGTGTTTCAAAATAGCTCTCATTCCAACCATTTCACCAACCCATTCCTCGTAACCTTTGTCCTGAAGGCCTTGTTGCAATGAAACTGTTTCTGTTGCTATTTCGTGGGATTCAGAGGCCAATGTTTGAATCATATGGTAATTGCTAAAATATTAAAGAAACAAATAATTGAAATGGTGTTCTGAAAAATGTTGGCGTGGCAATAATTTGTTACCTGTATTCGTGTGCTATGAAGAATGTTCCTTTTATATCACATCCATTAGGATTTTGTCGTTTTCCATTGAAAACTTTTTGGTAGTGATAAAAGTTGTTCAAATTGACTGCACCGTCGAAAGTCAACATGATAATTTGAGGAATCTAAAAGGACATCACGGAATTATATAAAAAGCCGGTTTTTACATTAAAGTAGTGATTAATAATGGGTTTACTTACTTCTTGTGGATCATAACCTCCAGGAATGCTGGTTCCATCCTTGGAGCAGAAGCAATAAGGCAGTGAGCAATTTGCTGGATTACATTTTACAGCTAGATCAGTCGGAGTTTCAGTCACTGGCGCAGGAGCTACGCTTAAAAAATCGTATCATCAATAATAAATCTACAATCTTCCAGAAAATATGTAGCAACAGAATAATATTTTAGTATAAATTTGGAAGTTAACTTTGAAATTAAAGTATGTTGGGTTAAAATCTTACTAGAAGCCAATGGTCCACATCTTGCTTCTGCCTTAAATGTACAAAATTTGCTAATATCGTCGAAATACAGTCCTGAAGGACATCTGTTCACATAAGGATGACCATCCACACACTGAAAAAAATGGAAAATGGTTTAAAATATATGTTTATATTATTTATTGCATTATTTAATTGAATACAAAAAAATAGGAGAAACTGGAATATTAGAAACCTATTGAGTAATTGGATATAAACGCAGTGAAGCCCCAGAAGTGGTTTAGCTGATAAAGTACTGAAAAAATACTTATTTTAAACATTTTGACTGCATTCTTCTTCGCTTCTCCGTACAATAAACGAGAAATTTCTTTTTTATTGATCAACTGATATCGGAATTTTACAACACTGACTTAATTACAATAATTCATAAGTCGCATGTTACAATTTACATAATCCGAAGAAAGTTTATTGAATACATGTTATTGAAAGTGAAACACATCGTGTCAAGAGGTCAGCCAATTTAATTCGGGATTTTGATCATAATCGTAAAACATCTTGTGATAGAAAGAGCAATCAGAATAACAACATGTTAGAACTAAATGATATGTAATAAAAATTTGTTGTAAATAAAATAAAAATATATGCAAAGTAAATTTAATCGCCGGGAATAATCGTTAATGGAACTGGTTTATCAACTGTCGTTCGGTAGTAATTAGTTTATTATTCGTTGTTTTTTACAATAAATAATCTACGCCCATGACATAGTTGGTCGTGATTGAAAACAATAAATATATGTGTAAGAATGTGCATCGATGTGAATGACTTGGCGCTACTTGTTGCTCTAACATTCACACGACTTATTTGTAATTTCATATGCGTTGCACCATATGGAATGCAAGTGGAGGTTCAAGGTATATATATGGTTCTTCTAAAACCAAATCAAAAACGCATCTTATGCAGGATACAGGTTTATTTTGAGAAATAGAGGCGATAATTTTCAAAATGCTGAGATTGGCATATAGCGGCGTAATATGCAGGAAATCGTATCAAGCATAATCGTCTTAACGGGGTTCTAATATATAGTACTTAAACTTCATTTGTTTAATCACATTTCATATTGACCAAATTCGGTGGAAAAATATTAAATTCTTTAGGCATCATTTCATGAAGGAACTCCCAAGACAGTTCCATCTTCCTTAGCAACCATGTAATTAAAATTAAAATTTCATCAATTTATTTTTTGTCGTTACTTCTATATATTCCTTATGTAAATAAAAAACTTTAATATTGATACATTAATTATTTTAATATTTGTTTCTAGAACTACTTGGTAAAGAACTATGATGCTAAAGCTCATATGAGAAAAACCATCAAAGAAGTAGTTACATATTAATAAAATTTTCAAAAAATAGCAATAATTACTTTAGACAAGAATTGATTAGACAGAAATTGTTTTAAAAATATACGTCAGAATCTTGATCCGAATATATAGCTATGATTTAATGCCATAGCTCATTTTCATAGGTATTTTTTCTGATAAATTAAATTCTGCAAATACATTATTTTTGGCTATATGAATCGGTTTACATTTTTCTTAACTTCATATCGTACCTGATAAAACCTTCTACATGTTTCGGGATCTGCAAAATTTCCGTTACCGGTTTGTTCTGGGCAGGTGAAATTTTTTTCCGCACTATCTGAAAATCAGAAAATATTTTAAATTGATAATCTAATAAAAGAAAATTATTTATAAATTGATACTATTTAATTTAAAAATCTATTAAGAGTTTGTAAAATATCAAAATATGTGGATGCCATTCAGAACAAATAAAGATTTGCGTTATTATTCAATATAGTAACAATAAATGAAACAGTTAATTACAATGCAATTTTTAATACACTGTTTAATAAAATGTTTTATTTTTAATTATAACTTAATATATTAGCGTGTGTATATTTATATGCATATGTTTATTCCTATATATCAGAATACACCAAATTGATTATATATATAAAATCTCCTCTTGTCTAATAAAATATAGAGTTTATAATCCATTCATCGGATTTGCGCAGCTACTCCGTTCATACATTTTGCCTGAAATAGCAAAACAAACATAACGACTATAAAAAGCAATGTTTTAAACAAATAAGCAAATCGAGACGATGATTATCTTTCGAATAATTCATCGGTAATGCTCTCGCATACACTTTCTTTTCTCTATAATGCCGCGAGTGCTTATTCATTCATCTTCACTTTCTTATTATAATCATCAGCTGGTTTTACTTCTTGTTAACTTTATAAAGTTTTTTCTACAGGAATTTGTTATGCATACAAACACCTAGTTAAACTTTTACATTAAATATCAAGACGGTGAGTTCGATAAAAATTGATTCAGAAAATTTATTAAGTTTTATGAACTTTTGTGTTGAAAATTGTAGAAACAATGATGACATTTTTACAAGGTTTTGATTAGTTTTAATATTTTCACAAAATTTTGTGAAAAGTTGTCAAGAAAAATGGTACACTTCAAATTTGTTTTACAGATGAAAATCATAATATCCATACAGGGTTGAAGGGCTTTTATTGCTCTCTATGAATAATATAAAAGCTTATGAATAACATTTTTACCAAATTTCAGATTTACTTGCACTCAATTTAAAAAATAATGTTTTATGGTTCCTAAATCAGATTTAATTAAAATGCTTAAAAATGATCTCAAACATGCTTCAGATTCTTGAACTTTTTTGCTCATATTTTAAAAATGATTTTCCTGAATATAATTTCACTAGAAAGCTTACAAATGTCCTTAAAAATTACATCCAAATGTTGGATTTTCTTGCTTAAAATTTATGTTAAGTTAAATTTAACTAAAAAGCTTACAAAGGATCTATAAACATCTTTTCAAAAAGCGAATTTACTGACTCCAATTTCAAAAATTAATTCTCTAGGGACAAACTAAATATCCAATTGAATTGTGCCGTTTCTTGTATTTTTTATCTAAATTTTACCTTTTGAATAATTTTTGAAGTAGTCTGAAAAAAAATTCTGAAACTCGGATTGTGGTATAATGAAAAATTCTGAACACTTATCGAAGTTGTATTAAAAACTGAATATTCTGTTTGTACTAACTAATCATAACCTCGTACATTTTTTAATTTACTTGGTGCAAGTTAAAATCAAATCAGGATTAGTTTTGCCATTGGAGCACATAGTAAAATTTAAATACCGTCAGCCACGTGTGACAATGAATAACCAAAAAACAATTAAAATGAATGCCAAAGAAATAAATTTGGCAGTTACATCAAATCATGATATATTTCTAGTGAATGCGTAATTTTCAAATGTGTCGTTATATCAGCATAATGTTTCTATGAATATTCATGCAATATTAAAATTTCAGACTCGATTTCATTATAAATTTCGCCATAATCGGGTTTTCTAAATCGTGTCGTCTATGGGACATTTTTAGTGCATACGAGTTGATACGAGCAAGGACGTCTTGTTCACATTGACATTTCGAATAAATAACGAAGCCAATAAATGCCGCTATGTGTAAATTACTCCAGTAACATCGTAATAGATAGTAACACAAAATTAATACCACTGGACTGTGGATGAAAGTACTGCATCCAAAAAATCCAAATATGTGGGCATTACTAGTTACAATTTCTAGGACAATGTATTTAAGTAACTATATATACTTGTATGTAAGAATGTACATGAGTGGTCATTTTCAAAAATAGATGCATATAGTAGTTCATATAATTGAAATTGACATCCATATCAAAGATATTCTTGACCAACAATAAATCTATTTTTATTGGCTGATCTAAAACTGTCTTTATAAATATCTACCATAAATTATTGAATTATTGAAATATATTAGATTTTATTTTTGACACAACTCAGTTTTAATGTGTGTGGTGGCGCATGGCTTCCAAACAAATCAGTCCATTTTCAGAATCAATCATTTCCATTTTACCATGCACTTCGATTTTATTTTTCATGGATCTATTTCATATGGAAAATCGTGATAAAATTTAAATTTTCAAACTTCAACAAGTTTATGACGTCACAATAAATCACTGTAATTCAATCCGCTTACTTATGCAACAGATATTACAAACATGTTCTCCCTATTACTGCACCGGTAATTCTTAGAATATATTGTACGTTTTCTTGGAAATTTAAACATCTATTGCAATAAGTCTAGGCAGTGGCGAATTCTAAAGCAGAAGAGGTAATAAATATCATTATTTATAAACTTAAACCAAAGTTTAACATTATGGTATGTTTTGGAAGTAGCAAATAATTTATAGTGTCATTACAATAAGGCAACTACCAAATGTACGAAAATCACATAATTTAAATATGCAGAACAAAAGCATTTTAGCAATCAAAATGTATGCTTAATTAGTGAGTAAAAATCTAATTTTCTGGCTTGTTTTTAATTCTTGTTTTATCTGGCATCAATCTACTATATTAGGCACAAATAAAACACTTTTGATTTCTTGACGACAATTTTACATAGAAATAATAACCTCGTTAGCGGAATCATTCAAACATCACACGATTCCAGAATAGACACACAAACATCATTGATTTTTACAAACTTTTATTTCATAAATGTATCAAATGAGATCAACGTTTACACACAGAACAGACGATTACTTACATACAAATATGTTATTAAATCTAATCATAAGGTAAACCAGGATATTACTTAATTTTTAGTTCTTTAGAGTACGTGCAACCTTATATACTTTATGGATTTCGATAAAACTAGGCATAATGATGGTGTAATACCAACGAGGTGAACTCTTCCTTTGCTAGTCTGGGTCATGATGATAGATTTAGTGCCCACATTGATCCCCATGAAATATTAGAGACATAATATGCACACTTCAAATAAATTTTATTGTTTGTAAGCCTCTTATATTTCAACAGTGTCAGCTTGGGCACTAAATCTATCATCTTCGTTAGTATTACACCATATAGTCCTCATGGATTAATTACTACTACTTACCCATGCAAGGTACCAATGCTGCAATCAGCATTACACCTAACATGACTTCCTTAATCACTGTCATGTTGTTTATGCACCTGACTAAAATTACTAAAAAAAATAATTTACCGCCGCGATTCAATTATCGCGCGTATTTTAAATTAATCGCGATCGTCGATTTAAATCTTTGTTCGCGATCTTCGACGGCGGAATTTAGTGTCCACGCGGACACTGCTGTTACGAGAGACTGTTTGGTGTTTTGCGCGTTCGAAAGTGCCCAACTTGTTTTCTGTTGCCGAAGAAGTAGGAAGAATGGAATGACTAAATGATGGACCCAGGGACGCAGCGGATTTTATACTTTTTAGCAATTTACATTGGTTCATTGATTATATATACACGAAATTTATAAAAATCACCGGACTGGATATAAAATTGATTTTTATTCGTAAACATCACTAATTAAAGGTAAATATCGATTTGATGAATCTCTTGCAGAAATAAAATAAGGAAAAATGAATAATGGACCCAAGGACGCAGCGGACTTTTTAGGAATTTACATTGGTTTATTGATTGTATACACTGTCAATTGTACAAAAAGACAAAATATTATTTATATTATTATTATGGTAAATTTGTAAAAACCTCCGCATTGGATATATAATTGAGAAAGACAAACATTACTAATTATACAAAGAATATCAATTCGTTGACTCCATGGATAAATACTATAAAATTAGTATTATGGTGCGAAATAAATGATGAATGATTACCAGACTTAATAACGCGTATAGTAATTACTTGTTTATATTAAATATATGCTCATTTGATTAATTTATTATTTGAGATTAAAATTTCCAATCCTCCATATTTAACTTTCACAATTAAATTCAACATATTGTGGTTCAGAAATTATTTAAAAAAAAATTATTTTTTTTATTTATTTATCATAGCAAACTATACAAAGTACATTCAGCTATATTTTATTAGAGATATATATTATTTGACTGCGTGAGAAGGATCGCTATCTTGCGATAGCGCCTTCATAGATGTTATGTTATATTTTGTAGTAAATCATTGCAGATTCTTTTTTTGAGACGCTTTGGTGGTAAAGGCTTGAGCAGATTTAACGCTAATACGTTTGGATGACGACTTAGATGAGCTTTGTATCTAGTGCAGTAAAGACTAATTTCTTCTTCTATAGTTCGAATTCTAAGATTTTGATGTATCAACCAATTGGGAACGTATTTTGGAACGTTCACGATTTCTTTCAAAATTATATTTTGGAACATTTGCTGAATAGTTATGTTCGATTTACTGACCGCACCCCATAGTTGTTTGCCGTAGGACCACATTGGTTTAATAATTGTCTTGTATATTAGGAGTTTATTTTCTATTTTATTTTAAAAAATGGTGTTAAAATTTTTATCATAGGTCGAAGGAGAATCGGATTTTCTGTTTTCATCGGAAAATACATATTTGTGAATTTTATATTTTTGACGTATCAAGCGACTCTGAATCATTTGTTGCCAAATTTGGAAGAAATATATAAGTATGTTTCTTTAATATATAGCTTAGGAAATACTTTACGTATCCCAGGCTTAGATGTTTGACCTAGGTATGTCGGGCTCAATACCATCTGGGTTAAATACCGACTAAAACCTTTGCTTTTTTCTTGCCCCTTGTCTCCACGAAAACTGCCGATAAGCATTACTTCATGGGGGAGGCTCTAGAATGCTGCGATTGTCTCTCTTAATTATACTTTTCTTCTAATTAATGCCATCTCTCTTTCTTTTGAATGTCAAATCAAGATTTCAAACATTTTAAAGCTATTTGATGAAATTCGATATAAACTCTCAATAAATTAGTTTTACTCGTTTTTTAATTAACAGATAAATGCAATTTCTTTATCGACGTTTATTCTAAAAATCCTGAGCCAACTTAGTTAGTATTCTGACCACGTTGGATTTGATGAAACTTGGTATGATGATAGAGTTCATGGTCTTCCACGAGCATACACTAAAGTATATTATACTAAAATATTGTGGATCTACAAAATGTGTTTCAATTATAAAAAAATCATCAAAATCTGTAATAATGGGCTAACTAAAATGAAATTATATAATCTCATATAGTATACATAAGTCTCGAAATATGTGGAAATGTTCAAATGCAAGATTGCTGAAAATTTATTTACATGTTGAGTTTATGAGAAATAATTTTATTACTATTATTACTATGACTTTTATTATCGGCTACATCACTGAGTATCTATATTATATATAGTTTTGATTGGTGTATAGGTGTTCCATACGAAACGATTCGTTTTCTCGAAAGAGAAATGTTGTTCGAGGCGCGCTTATGCACCGCACCGCCGCCGTTGGTATATTCAAGAATCTATGTTGTACCTGTATGTGCATATTTTGTTTTGTAATCAACTGTATGTATTTGCAAAGTTCATACACGGCACATGCGTACTGAACTCAATGAACTGCTCAATCATCTATAATAAAAATAATAAAACAATTGAATGTAATAAAACAATTTTATAATCTGACATTGTATAATAAATTTGAACACATTTGCCAAACTGATTATGTGGTTGATCGAGTTTAGAAAAGGTAATTGGACGATTAATGTCAAAAACTTCATTATTAATTTAGGTAAATTTGGTTTTATTCATAAACAAAAATATTATTCTGCGATTCAAGAAAATGAATTTTACATGAAGAGCTCTAAGAATGTATTGCGAACTCGAAGAACTCGACTCGCCTACTCTTTGGTTTCTTCATAGCCATTATTGTAATATGCTTGCATTCATTAGGCATATTTATTGTAAATTCAATAAAACCCTGTTAAGACGATTTTTCAGGCTTTCAGGCAAAGGTGCCTTAAGACGATCTGTATTATGCATGATACAGATATTTTTAAATAAAGTGGCGTATTATGCGGAAAAAATATAGAGCATAATCATCTTAACGGGGTTCTACTGTACAAATGTATAATAATTAATGGTTTTAATATTCATTTATTATACCAGTTTATGGATATAATTATGTCAAGTTTATAGTCAAAGTATGGTCAAAAATCTTATAAAAATTAATAATTTTTAAGATCGTTTTTAAAAACAGTTTAATTTATATAATTAATATAGCATATTTTTTAATTTCAATATTTGTGATTTACTGTAAATTTTATAACAAGTAACTAAACAATTATATTCTAAATATTTATAATAACTAATTACTTGTCCATATTCTTGACTCAAAAATCAGCTTGCTACAAAAGTTATTCTCTAATACAATTAAAAAGTTATTAAGAAAAATATTGAATACGGTTTTAAATGATTAACTTCCTGCAGAAAAAGAATGTTTCCACCAGAAAATTTGCTAATTTTATGATTTCTCCACGTTTTAGGTCTATCTGAACCAAAATTTGACACCAAAATTGGAAGTGTGTATGAGACACAATTTGAGTTTGAGATTTTAGGTTGCACCGATTTCAGAACTTTTAAATCTTTTTGATGAAACTCCTTAAAGTCTCAGTTTAATAGTTGTTTTAAGTCTAAGAAAAGTTGTTTTAAGTTGGCTTTTGCCAACAACAAAGTTTAGTTTTGCTTAAGCGGTATTTTAATTGTAATTTTCTTAAGGACAGTTTCTGCAACTTTTCAGTGAAAAATGCCTTTTACGCCTAGTTTCAAATTATTCATATTTCCATTAATTAATATATATTTCCAACTTTGCAGATGAAAATATGGTGTGAAAATTATCGATCAACATGGAGATGCAGTAAAAACAATGAAAGGAGCGCATTGAGATGAAGGTAAGAATAATTATTGTAGTATTATTTGATTTAAAGTTTTAGTTGATGTTACCTTGCACTAATTAATACAAAACATGAAGAAAGCATTACTACTGTCTCCCATGCGTTCTAAAAATACTACCATTCAAAAATATTAGTCGAAGCTCATTCTTGAACTTGACAACTAGAAATTTCTTTTAGAAATGAGAAAAAAAGTTTGTATTTGATTTATGTGGACGTTAATGAGTCCGTGTTTCGTTCATCTGCGTGCAATGTTCCTATATCGGTGGTACATTTCATCCTGTGGCAATGCCAAAATCTAAAATTATCCCGTCGCTGCCTGAGACGAAAAATCTTGAACGAAAATCATCCGTGCTGGATTTCAGTTGAACGCCGGCTCCTCGCTGGGAAACTAAGTGTGTTTTCATGTGGAAGACGTGTGTGAATCGGACACGATAATATTGGAAATATTTGCCAAAAATTGCCAATAGGCCGATTATTTTTAGTTTGAGGTGAGGTGGCTAACTACGCAACTGAATGCATTTTTAAAATCTATTACCCATTGTTAAAAACACTGCTCTGTTATCGATTCAATCATGTTCTTCTAATCAATTACAATTAAGCTCCTTCATTTAAATTAGTATGAGCAATCGGAGAGGTGTGCGAAAGAGCAGAGTCGCGAATTAGGTCGACGATCTTTATGTGTGGTCGTTGTTTTATGTAACGAAAATTTTGTACCAAAATATATTTAAGTATAAAACACGCAAAACTTGGGAATTATATTTAGATGAGCATTATACGGTGAATTGTGCGTGTACGATTATTGTGTATGTGTTTGAGTGCAAAATTGAAAAAGTGTAACCAAGTGACGAGGAGGTATCAAATGGAATGGATAGTTTTTGTTTGGTTATCCTTAAATGCATGTTTTCATATTATGAATACAAAATTTTGATATTGATTTATGATATATAATGAGTGATTAGTACAATTTGATTCAAATATTATTTACTGCAGTTGCACAAATTTAGGATGTCTAACATTTTCCTTTCGACATTTTCTTTTTAAGTACCTCCAATGCTTTATCTTTCAGACATCTTCGACAGTTTGTCAAATATTGTATTACCAATGATGCTTATAAATCACATTTGTTATACTGAGGACTTGACGCTAAAATCTGTTTTTTCATAAGAAATTTTAAGTCTTGTTTTCCGCATTTTCTGGATATTGTTTGTGGTTTCTTATTTCTCTATTGTTCATCTGTCATCTATCATGACCATATTTTATAAAAAATAATTTTACTAATAATGTTCAAAAAACTAATTAGATTTCTATTGTACATCAGAGCGTGTCGTTAAAATTTTCTTTCATCAGCATTTTCTGGAAAATTTGTGATGCTATTGTTTGTCTGTTCCATATTATTTCAACTTGTAGTTGATAGTGTTCTATTGTTTGATTTAATCATATTTGAATAATAATAAGACGACGAACTCTGTTAATGATCTACCGACTTTGAAGTTTACATTGCTTAAATTATAGAAACACATTGCATTGATTTTGTTTTCATTGCATTTTACCAAATAGAGACAACTTGGAAAATTATTTCTTCTATATCGAGATCTTTCGAGTAAGTTGTTTCTACCATAAGCTTATTTTTAAATTTGCTCCAAAATTGGCTGATTTACTTTCACAAATCATACTCAGTCCCGTTGCATTAATCTTAATTATATATTCAACTCCCACAATACTCTTGTATAAATATATATAGAATTCAAATTTTCTAAAATTTCTGAGTACTCTGTCTAAACATGAGATTTGTAATAACAACAAGAGTGAAGTATGCAAAAATTCATTAAAAATTAATTAGATGCATTCATGATCATCTTCTTGAATCATCAGGGAGTGCAGACTTCTAGTACTCCTAATAAGCAGATCCAACTTGGTTTAATGAAATAGAAACGCGGTTTAATTATAACAAATAGCTATTGTTTTTTTTAATGGTATTTTTTTATTTATTTCTGCATTAATTTGTAAACTAATCTTAACAGTTTATCTATTCTGCAAGATTGTAAAACAACTGCAAATATTATGCAAAATGGCACAAGCATGTTGACAATTTAATGTCTTAATTTTACACCTCGCCACGCATGTGAATTACATTATCTATTCTTGAAATCGCATTAGCAAGATGTTTCGCAATATTTAACCCAGCTAATGATTTTCTAGAATCTAAAATAATCGATTTCCATTTCGCAGAGGTCAATAAATATATTCTCACGCCTACATAATTCGGTTCGCCAGTCATAATGATTCTTGATAGATACTTTTGCTATAAATAAATATTTAGAGTAGTTTTAAAAATAACATATACTTGCGTTCATCGGCTTAAAATTCACTGTGATACAATTCGTAGCGTATATTTCAAAGTGTAAGATGACATCTATCTTGATTTATAATCCGCGATTTCCACACCAGTTCGGACATCTACTCTGCCCTCATTTCTGATGTAAAGGACGCACGAAATATCAGATGGTGGTGCGTGTTTGTTACTTAAAATATTTACTTTGCTTACTTTGATACGAAAATGTTTCGGAAGCTAAATCAAGTTTATGTGGCAATTTCTGTTTATATAAAACACTTTTGCTCTTGTAAATGTTAGTTTATGCTTCTACAGGTAAACCGCATTATCGCTGTGTATTTATTTACTGACTAATTTTGAATCTTCAAAGCTATTATAGGTTTTAGTTAATTTTTGATGGAACAATTATACAGGATATCATATATTGAATAATTAATGTATTTAATTAATGTATTAGTATTTAAATTAATTTTATTTTTAAAAAAACGTTTGTTTGCTGATGTTGTCTTTGTGTAGTTCGTACCTGAGTCCCGTTCGCCACGTCATAGATTTTTTTGCTATAAAATGTATTGATTGCCTTTTGTTTAGATTGGTCGTAAAACGATATTTTTGTTCAGGCAACATACATAAACTTCACAAACTACAATTACACTCTTGAAACACCAAATGTTATATTAACGTCTTATTCTAATTGGAATTTACTAATCTATTTGGCAGAGATTCAAGAAATCATAATTATTAATTATTAAAATCGTAAAAATTTAAACAGTTGTTTAGAAAACATGTAAAGAAATATATATTCAATAAACATATATTAAGCATTTTTAAAAGTTACAAATTACCTAAGGTGACCGAAAGCATAACATGAGTTGTGTCTATGAATTTTCTTGAATAGTTCAAACATATCATTTTTGTAAAAAATATTTTACTACTATTCAAAATCTCTATTCTAATTTATTACTTGTAATCAGTCACCAATTACACATTTCATTTAACTCAAACTTATTCCAT